ATCCCCGCACATGTCCCGTCTGTCCCAGTCACAGCAGTGACAGGAGCCGAGCTTCCTCCCGTGACCAGTGAGGGGTCGCAGTGTGGGTGAGCTATTGAGCTATACACGCAGGGGTGATAGAAACAGAGGGGGGCGGGCTCCACGCCCGGTCAATGCCGGTGAATGTTGCTTAAGAACAAAGGGCCGATGGGGCTGGACTCTTTGTGACGCTGCGGATGGAACGCCCGGGCCCAGCCCTTGGAATGTTCGATGCTGAACACGGTCCGGACATCCAGCCCCGGAATGAAAGCGAGGCTCCGTGGAATTACGGTCTCTCTGCGTGAATGGCTGTATAGTTCAAAGAGGCGTGGCCTGAACAGTGACACCGGAAATGACGTGTCCGGAGCTGGCTGTGTTCGGGGAGGGGGAAGGGCTCATTACCGTGTGTCGGTCTCTGGATGTAAATGTCTGAGTCCAGTTTGGTGTTCTGCGAAATAACTTTGTCTCATTTCTCCTCGTTCAGGTAATTGTGGTTCATGGTCACGTTCCAATTAACACCCTCTTGCATTTCCGGGTCTGCTCCCCTTCCCGTTCACACCGATGTTTGGGGGGATTCGGCACGGGACGCTCAGCCCCGCTGCTCCTAGCTGCTGGTGGCAAAGTGGCCCTGGGCACCAACCCCTCTCATAACCCTACGCGCTGAAATGCCGCAGGCAACCCTCAGTCTGGGCTGAGTCCGCCGCCTGGATGCCCTAAAGGCCCCGCTTCTCCCTCTGCCTTCCCTGGAAGGAGGGAGCCTCACACTGAGCAGGGTCTGAGCAGAGAGTCCCTGGGGCGCGAGGCCGGATGCAGCTGTTCGTTCTCCCTGCGCCGGGAAACACCCGCTCGGGGAGTTGGGCTCAGCAGGGCCTGTCTCCCCTCCCAGCTGGGCGCCGGGCTCGTCAGAGGTGGGGGTGGGGGCTCTGCGCGAGTTTTTTGTGCGAGCTCGGATTCGCTTCCTCTCATTGTGTGTGAGTGTATCTGGGGCAG